TTGCCTCCCTTTTTCTAGTGCTCACGAAGCCGAGGGAATCCTGGTTTATATCGAAGCAAACGGAGAACACACAAGGGGCACAAACTGTTGGGGAGAATAACATTCAACTAGCAGCACACCATCAGGAAAATGCAATTTATCCAATTTAAGAGGAATAGGGGCAGCTTTGAAGCTGAGAAGTATGATGTTTTCATAACTACAGAGCAAGATAATTGGTTAGGAGATCTACAGCTGTGCCTGGGCCCACCAATGTTCCCATCTGAAACTAAACTGCTAGTTTTGTGGCTAAATTAGATAAATTCGCATTTACCTTTTGAAGACAAATTCATTTTACTTTCTTTACAAGACCTGAATAAACACCCAAAACAATTTTCTATGCTGATGTTTAGGGAATTGTTACCAAGTTCTAGACTATATGCTATTCTCCTTTATTTAATTGTGCTTGGTATTTGGAGCTGAAACCTTCGTATAAGGCATATCTATCCAAATGTGGAATTGTCCAGTCATTTTATGCAGGGCAATGAGCGGAAACTAATAGGCGTGCAAGCGAGCAGTCAGGTGTTTCAATGTCTCGCTACTTCATGGTCTCTGTGTGCACATGCTGAGAAATTGTAAAATCTTACTCCATTTATTTTCATCTCTCTTGTGTTGCATTTTCAAAGCAAGAGATTCAGGCTTTTAAAGAGATTGGAACCGAAAATGACTAGACAAATTTGAGTGATGAATTTTAGGTTTGTTCAATTAGTTGCTTAGTTGCAGTAAATGGAAGCATCTGTGATCCGAAAGAAATATCAGCTGACTTGTTGATGTGCTGATGGACAGTTATCTCTAAGACATTCTGTAATTGTCATGATCTTGGCGCTGATGACTGGCTTGATTGTTCATTTTATTCACCTGTTTAGCTCTGCCCAGTTTCTCATTACCGCTTATCTGTTCCACCTGTTCCAGTCTCTATTTAACTTGCCTTCTTCCAGTCATCAGTGCCAGTTTATTCAAGCCTTGGTGAGAGTCTTCTAGTGTGCATTAGTGTTTTCTGATTGTCTGAACCTGACCTGTTCTGCCTTTGGACCACTGAGCCTGCCTGTTTCCATTCTGATCTGTTTGCCTGACCTGTTCTCAGACTCCTGAACCTGGAACAACTTCCTAACACCGTCCTGGATTTCGCTTTGGTACCTATTCGGATCTCCGATCTTGTCCTGGCCCGGACTCTTGTGAATCTCCTCGATACCAGCTTTGGATTTGTCCTCTGTATTATCATGCCTTCCTTCGTTTGCTTGGATATGATCTCCTGCCTGTTCTTTGGGGATTCAACGTCTGGGACTCTCTAGGCAGCATTCACTGCTTCTTGCTGACATCCTACCGGTTGGGATCTACCTCATCCTCTGGGTACAGACTGAACTTTAAGACCAGAGGTTCCTGCCTTAGACTCCCTAGCTGCTCACTGCATATCTGTCATTTTTAAATAAACGTTTTTTGAAATATCATACTGTCTGTCTGAATACTGGGTTTCCTGTTTTGAGCTGTGACAGTAACTAAGGACAGATTTCACTTTCTGGAGTAATTGACCATTTGGCCCGGCTAGCCAAATTTTAGGGACAGGGCAGACCAGCAATCTCTGTCCACTCGCCTGCATCATATCCATTGCTTATGGAAGGATGTTAGCTGTATGCATGCTACTATTTCCAGCTCGATTAGGAAAAGCCACTTTAGGGCTAGTGTAACAAAAAATAAAAAAATACAATAGTGCCCCATACAGTAAAATTACTTATTAATCATTTTTTAATTAATTAATTAATTAATTAGTTTTAAAACATGCTGTATTAAAATAACCTTCCCTTAGAGCTGTTTAGCAGCAAGCTCCATCAGAGCCTCCTCCCCAAACTAACGATCATCCTTGCTTTATGTTAAATAATTACATGCTGATGTGGTACATATGAAGTATTAACGAGTCAGTGGTTTTATGGTGGTGATAAATCACCCCACATTACCACAAAAAAAAAAGAGAAAAAAGTTTGACTCGAATCCCTTTACCCTGAATTTAGATTTAAACTGCAGCTACTTCAATGCCCTCATGCTGGTTTAAAATTACAAGCACTAGATTAATGAGCTGATGTCAATGTAAGGATATTCCTAAAAATTTTGTGCACTCCGTCATTTTCAGGGGTTACAGTTGGTACAGTGAAACAGCTTGTGATAAATTATTTTAAGCCAGACTAGTGGTGGAAAAAGAGGGCAATGAGGCCAAAGAAAAGAAGAATCATTATCAGTCCAAACAAAATTAACCGAATACAAGTCCCTCACAGAATCACAGGGACAACATGGACAGTGTTGCTCATTACTTTAACAGGATTATTATGGTTTCACTAATGTCCTGACCCAATAAAAAAGATTTCAGTTAAGATGTCATGGTCCAAATGACTTTGAAATAAGTGTATGAGTTATTGTTTTTCTGTACATTAATAAATGATGCAGCTAGTTTTACACTGCAATAAAAAGTTTTCCATCCTTTTCTCAAAGATGTCATAATTTGTATCATTTGTGACTTTTCATACTTTGCATATCTGTATTTTTCTATATTTTTACATGAATGTCACTTCAACTTAATATATAGTTTCAGTAGGAATCTTTGGATTCCAGTTTGTCTCCTGCCATCCGGTTTCTTTATCTTTCATGTCTTTCCTCGAGTTGAGACTCCCCTTCTCTCCATTTTTTTAACACTTTCAAACTTGTCAATCCATTCCTCTCTGTCTTTTTTTCTTCTTTTCCTCTTTTTCAATCTCGTGTTTCTCTCTGATGTGTGAAGGTGTTTTGTTGACACTTTGATCTAAGGGATATTGACCAGAGGCCAACGTGGCTGATGGATGGCTAGTGCTTAAAGTCAATATCGTCTGCACTTATTGGGACTCATCACTTTTACTATCTGCACCAAATGAGCTCCTGTGTGCTTAACAGTAAGATCTGATGTAATAACCCCATACGTGTTGGTAAAAGAGTCAAGCTTGGATTTATGGATGAATCACTGACAATTCAAAATGAAAGTGGCTTATAAAAAATATTTCATCAGACTCTTTGGGTCAGAGTTATAGCCTGATGTAATCTAAAGAGATAAAAAAAGAAAATCTCCATGATCAGTGATTGCAAAATATCTTGCTCATAATGTGCAATAACCAGTTCATACTGTAAGAAATTAAGCTTAATTGATATGTTTGATTGCATGAGGAAAAATCTTTTATTCAAGGCCTTGCTTAAAGATGTGTGCACATACATTTTAGACCAGATATTGAAATACTGTATAGTAAAAATAAGCTTTCCTCACCTATTCAGATCTATCACGATTACAAAAAGTATGTTTATTTTTCAATAACACTGAAATAATTAGACATTTTAAGGAATCCATTATTTATTACTGTCTAATGTTTACATACGCCAATATTTAATCAGTCTTGGAAACTCCAATGATAATTTCATTGTATCATGGGGAAGCAGCATGAACAAAATAAAAGATGTCAACCAAGATATGAAGAAAGAAATGTGGATCTACATAAGGCCTGGTTCATCCTTTCATATAACTTCCATGGAAAATAATAAAATAAATAAAAAAGTAAATATGAAAGGAGAGAGGTTGTGTGTCTAAAACATGATGCAAAATGTTTATCGATCCTGTTGAAAACTTAATCCACACCACATCTGCTGAGTACGAGGTGGCACAGCTATGTTGCCATTTTTTTATAGGGCACTTGTGGACTTCTAAAACTGATAAAATTATGAGCAAAAAAGAAAAAAAATATGGGAAAAAATAATCAAGCAGCATCTTAATGTAACAGGATGAAATATTCTTTTTTTTTCTTCCTTCATGGAAAATGACCAAATATACGTTTGAAGTAGTGGCTAAAAAGGACAACAGGTTTGAAGATGAACAAAAAGCCTTCATCTCAGCCTCATTTATGAGCAGAGCTGAAAAGATTTTTGTGAGCACTGCATCCAAGAACACCACTTCTATTACGTAAAAGAAATAGGCAAAACCCCAGTTAACTTTTGCTAAAAGCTGGTTTAAAGACACCTTAAACATATCATTCAAGTCACTTAGTTTAACTAAGTGACTTGTACTTAGATTTCACATTTAGAAAAAAAAATTCCCTCAAAGCTCTCTTCCTCATTCTGATATTCAGCAAAAATAAATAAATCTAGTTCTCTTCAATGACATGAAGTATGGAATGATTGCTCAGAAAGTGAAGGGAAACAAAAGTATCAAAAATAGTTTGATAGTTTGAAAGAGTATGAAAACATATGGCATCATATAACATTTTTGAAACTGAGAAATTTGGATACTAAGAACAATTTTACAGTCCTTAGATTTATAATGGGTTACAATGATAGTAATATGCTAATGAATCTCTTCCACAACGTCTTTGCAAGTGTATAATTTCCATCTGGCTTCCCCTATGGGGAACGTTTGACTTTTTCACCCTCCAAAGAAGAGAACACTCTTTCCAGGCATGAGTGTATAATTTTAAGCACATTAAAAAGGGCATTATATCTTTACTAAGACACTTATGATAACAGAGGTGCATGAAGGCATCCTTTCTAAGTGCGCTTTAACGGGGCATTTGACCCTGGGCCCCTGCCTTGCGGCAGTCTCTCACAGGGACCAGTTCAGTGCTGTCGTCTGAAGCGTGGAAAGCATGACAGCTGACCCATGTCCCAGTCTATGGGACACCAGTATGCCAAGGAAAATCAGGGTATCGTCACTTTCAGGAACAGAAAGGGATGAATATTTAATCTAGCCTTCAAGCACAAGAAAATAATTAGGGCTAACGGCAGTGAAAAAATAATCTTTTCATTGCAAACTAAGAGTTTGCTTTTAAACAGCTTTTAAATCTAGATCATAAGGACAATACTTTACGCTAATTTTTCTAAAGAAATTGGAGAATAGCTGAGAAAAAAAAAACAAATTTTACATTACATACTTTAAATGTTTTACAAAATGTAGTTTTCCTTACCCTTTCCTCCAGTCGGGCCACCTGCTCCCGGTAAAACGCATCCTGCTTCTTCAGATCTGCTTCCCTTGCCTCTAGCTGTTTGGCCTAAACACAGAAAGAGAGAAAACATTGTTCATTTATCCCAGTAGAAAGCAAATGAAATTATTATTTTAACCCAGACATGTCCTGGACACAAAACCCAATCATTGGGATGATTTAACTTTACAGTTAAAACAATCCTTTACAAGCTCTATAAGAAACAAAGACATAAAAGGTAATTTCTAAAGATGCTGGCATTTCAGAGATTGCTGTATCTAGGCAAATAAATGAGAATGAAAAAAGTGCAGAAGCAACAGGGATACCCATTGTGTTGAAGCAAAGCATATTTATGAGTTCGGGGAAGATTCTGGAATCATAGACTGCAGCTGGACTCATTAGCATTAAAAGCTGACTCAAGACAGATGTAACCAAAATGCTACAACTCATACTCTTTAAGTTCGACTAGGTCAGTGTCGTCTTTTAAAACATTTTTCATTAGAATATGAAGGTTCCAGACTAAGGAAGAGCCCTTAACTTAGGCTGTTTAAGATTCTTTGGGAAACTACCAAAGTCAGTATCAGTGACGATGCCCAGCGCTGATGGTGGTCCACTTTATTCTATCAGCCTTAACGTCTACTGACGATGCACCATTTGCCAGGGAAGTTTAGCATAGTACTGTTCTACTTAGCCTCAAGTAAATGCTGATTTTAATTTCCAGCAGGATTTAGAACCCTGATATCATTGTGCTTTATTAAACAGCAACCTGGCCTTTAAAAAAAAAAAAAAAGTCATGACAGCAATCCCAGCTTCCTTAACACTGTAGCCATGAAACAAAGTGTCACAATGTCATATTAATGCAGAAATTTTTAAAAGAGGTCCTGCACAAATATAAGTAAAAAAGCTCTACAGTAAAAGAATATACTTGTTAGCATGCTGAGATTCTTGTGAAAAATAAAATAATGTATAATCTTTGATCATGATATATAGGTTTTTTGAGAAATGAAAATTTGTGTTTACATCAAAACTAACTGAAGTAAAAGTTTTAAATACTGTGTGTGGTGATTCTAAATGCACTTAAATGGATTTTTGAAATAAAGGAACTATTCAGTGGTATAAAAATTTATAAAGATGCAATTCTACATTCAATCAGGAATATGCAGACAGAAATATGTGCATAACTTCAAAGTTGATGTGCAGAAAATACACACAAGTTTTTTAAATACAAGCGTGATGGAGCCTTGGCAGGTTCTTGTGCTTGCTCTTCAGCCAAACTATCAGGACAAGAAGATAGCATCACTTTTTCAGGGCAAACATGTATTCTGTTCTGCCATATAGGTTTACCTAAGCTACCTATCTTTGCTGTCCTCCCATCCACTGTGACCTTCACTAAATGTACGCCTGACTTTCTCTGCGACATACAGCACAGATAAGACCTGATGTATCACCTCTCACAGGGAAAAAAACATCACCCGGTGGAGGCTCCAAAGACTAATCGAAACATTTACCAGTCAAAACAGTATTACAAGATAAAAGATTAGCCTACCAGCCAAGTTTAACCAAGCCGTAAGAGCAAACTAACAAACTAACTATAAAAGTAGCTCTGACAGAGGTAGAAAATGCATCAAGTCAAACAAACTGGAAGTAATATAGAAGAAAAAAAAGACTCACCTTCTGCTCAAGTTCCTGAATAAGGCAGGCATTGAAAAAAGAGTAAGTAGACATTGATTTATTCTTTTCTTCAAAGTGACATTTGGAAAAGGTTTAGTATTCAAATGTCAGGGGTGACGAGCTGCCACCCTGTTCTGCTTCAATGCTCATACTTCATCCTTCAAGTTTACACCATCACTGGCAAATACACAAACCTCTGCATGCACTCTTAATACATGTGTGCTATGCAACCAGAAACTGTTAATGCATTCCTACAATGTATGGCTATTTACAGTTGTACACAAGATTACTGCAGAACAGTTTTGTTTGTGGAAAACAGTCACTGAGGTGCAGCCTTGAAGCTCTGAGTTTGAACACTATAGGAAGCTTGGGAATAGAGCAACAAAAAAATACTATATATATAAAAATTGCCTTAGCCCATCCAATCTTCACTACACTGATAACCATCTGAGTGTAGCTACTCAACACACTTCAGGCGAAACGGTATGCTGCATGCATTGTGATGAGGAGTCTCAGGGAGGAGCGTTCGTCACATGAGATGAGTGGGGGAAGTTTCAAAGTCAAGGGGATACTCCAAACTCGCTTATACAACCGAGACAGAAAACATCACCACAAAGTCACACACCTTCATTATGGTGCCAGACAGTGAATAAAACTAACTCCAGGGTAACGCTTTATCACACACAACACAATACTGTGGAAAACAACTGCAGAATGGAGGTCTCCAATGTGCCCTCAAAACGACCCAACATTAGCTAGCTTTATTGCTTTGGTCAAACTGTGCTCTCTATTTGGACCCCTTATAGCTAGAGTTTTGTTTATCTGGAGCACAATAAAATAACTTTAAAGTTATACCACAATCATAGTGCTGGCTGAATGTGCCCTGAAGTATACCTTAAAAATTATGGAGTTACTGCAGTAGAAAGAAGCTGTTATCGATTCTGAGCCTGCGATCACTGCCTCTAGGAGAGGATGGAAAAGTTCTCAAGTGTCTGGATTACACTGCAAAGGTTCCACAAAACTGTCTTCCCCCAAACAGCTCAATTTAGCCTTAGGAGAAAGAAGGAGTAATGAGAAAAGGGGTAGAATTGGTCATGAGTGTGTCTAAACTCAGTGTATTACTGGCAAGTGCAGATTTTGCAGCAAAAGGCAAAACGCAGATGCTGCGACGCAAACAAAAAGCTCAGACGCTGATCTGCAGAACACAAATCACCACGTGCACACACAGCAGCCTGAGCAGCTGTGCCCACAGAGAGCGGGCTGAGAGATAAATGTGTGCTGAAAGGGCGACTAAAGGCCTCATTAAAACAGGAGAGGTTGTGACAGAAATGTGTACCAAGGGATTTCTTTTTTTAATTCACTTTTGTCAGAGTCAATGCGAGTGTCTATATGTACATGCTGCAGTGCATGTGTTCAATTTCCATGCAGGCGGTTTGACCCTCCTCTTTGACGACACACAGGCCCAGACCGACACACATTATGTCGGGATTATTTCTTATTGATTAATCCCATTCAGCAGAGTTAAAAGATAATCTAATCACACTGAGGGCCAGACAATGGGACAGACTTCAGCCCTGACCATACACCTTTTGTTCCCCGAAAAAAGAGGTGGATGCTAGTGGAGGAGGAGAGCTTCAGTAAAGGTTGGGGGGGAAGGAAGAAGCAAAATAATGGAAATGAACTTAAGAGACCAAAAGAAATAAAAGGAAAGGGTAAAATGTGCTTTGTTTATGGGGCTGTCAGAAACAGAGACCTGGGGCCTTTACAGTTGGTAGCAACAGAATGTGTCCCATTACAAGCAGAAACTTTGCACATTTCATTGGAAATTTGTGAAATAAAAATAAAAAGTTTTCGAATATGCTTTTTTCCTACCACCTTTATTTTGACAAATAAAATCAGTTGGAAACGAACACCTTTTTTAATTTGTTTATAATTATGATCCACCTGTATGCACATCAAGTACAAATTCAGCTGTTATGCAAAGTCTTTAGAGGTTTATTAGAGAGGATAAGTGAATAAACACCATAATGTGTTCCAAGGTGTACATTTACGGTCTGGTTAATAATATTTCAGACTGTGAAGAACACACAAAGAACTGGATATGGTAAATTAAGATTGTGTGTACATAGAACCGGTCATAGAGAGGAGAATCCTATGTTTTTGCAGGAACTCTGAAAGTACTAAAGGTCTCAAAAGCTCATTTTGGGAGATATATTCACAGGAAAGCCTTTAGAACAAAACTGAACCCAACTGTCAATTGTGGAAAAAAAAAGGGGGGGGAATTGTTAGGGCCAAATTTCAAATTTTAGTCATAGATGCAAAGAAGTATAAGAAATCTACATTTCAGGTAGTGGTTGGCAGTGCTGTGACCTGGGGATGACTTTCCTTAGCAGTAACAGATGTTGGGAGATAAAAGGATATATAAAGCTAAATAGCGCAATAGTAGGGGGAAACTTTTTAGTGAGTTTTAACCATCCAGCAGGATGATAACCCCAAACATAGCGCAGGGGCTTAAATATTCCCCCAAAATTAAGTTTATATGTTAGAATTGCACTGTTAACTAAATCCAACTGACAACCTGTTACAAGCTTCTAAGACTACAGAAAAGTAAAACCAATTCATTTTATCTTTAGCTGCTCTTCTAAGGAAGTTAAAAAAAAAACAAGGTAATCAAAATGAAACATGTCCCGAGCTCAACTGAATACAAATATGTTCCACATTTTCTGTATTTTCACTTGTAGAAATGTTAAAAACTGCTTTTCTGTTAGCGGATGTAACCTTGGTGGATGTAACCTGATAAAATGTATATATGTGAAAATGTAAAAGCTGTGATATGAATAATGTAGGATTTTAAATCTCTTTAAAAAAAGATCAGAGTACAAAAGATAAACAGTTGTACTATTCTCATTAAAGTTGACAGAAACTTGATATACTGAGTTACCACAAAAAGAAAAAAAAATATCCCACTGAATACACATTTTAAAGGAGCTTGCTATTTCTTCTTATAGCCCAGGAATCCATATTAACATCGACAAACATTTGATCTTATTCCCTCTTGCATTAAGTACAGTAGCGCAAATGGCTGGAGGTGACACATGGTTGAAAGTGAGACCGTGGTGGTCAGATTAAATGGATCGTTTAGGCTCGGTGATCGCCTCTGTGAATATCAATTAGCCGGCCGCTGAATAATTAAGGACAACTGTGTTTTTTAATTAGCTGACTGCCGCAGTTTGAGAAGGGCGCAGGGCTGGGGAAGGGGAGGAGGAGCAGGAAGGAGCTGAGGAGGGGAAGCTGGGAGAGCGATGAGAACAGGTGGATTTTGCTGCGTCAGCCCACCTCCCTTAGCTCCCGCCCACCCACCGGCTGTTCTCTCACTGAATTGCTCCCTTATAGTCCGTTTTCCTTCCCAGCTGCTTTGTCGTTTCGAGTGCTTTGACATTTCCTTTTTTTTTCCCCCTCAAAGTGTCTAAGAGAACTGAAATAAAAATAATCTTTACCTGTCAGCAGCACTAAATTCTTTACATGCAGTGTACGTATATAGTTTAGCTTCTGCAATAACTATGAAAAAGGCCTTATAACCCACGTTGCAATTTGCACTATTTTTTTATGCAAATGTTCACAAAATAACAGTTTACACTAAATATGCCAGAACAACAAATTAACATGGGATAGTTCTAAAACAATTTATACATGCAGAGCATTCAAAACTTGGTGATATTCTGGACTTTGGCTTGGCCATTCTACGAGCAAACAAAGACATATGCTTTGATTTAAAACAGCTGTATGCAACTTCAGTTTTAGACTGCCACTGTCCAGCACCTTTTGCATGCATTCCTGCTCCAACACACCTGAAACAAAACACCAATTATCTCCTTTGCATGTTGGTAAGTTTAGCAGACAACTGGCCTTTAATCTTTCGATGTTTCAGGAGTGTTGGGTTAGATGCGTGCAAAAGCTGAAGGTCAGTTGCACTTGAGGACCGACGTTGCCTATGCCTGACCTATAGCATTTCAATTAAAGACCATGACCCCACTCTGAAATGTTTTGCAGCCTTTAAAGCCGGGCATACACTGTAAGATTTTTTTTCAGTCATTGCACCCAGCTGCAGCTCACACTGTACAACGAAACCCTGCAGTTTCGTTGTACAGTGTGAGTTAACAGATTACGATGCATTTGTCGCCCGACGCACTGATCCAATCTACCTACTCACACTGCACGTCCAAAAACCACATCGGACTCAGCCCCGGACAGAGATGGCACTACAGAGACTCATCAATCGGGAGGCCAAACCAGCAGAAGAGGAATATGAAGCTCACTAGATTGAAACACGCTGCCTTGGCAATTTTGCAATTTTGTGTGCTGAACGCCCTAAAAAGAAAAGGCGATGATGTATTTGGACAAAGACATGGCTGAGCAAACGTGGCTACTACAGTCTGTCGATTTTACAGAAAGAACTCAATTTCAACCACACCCTCGCCATGTTTCTGTGTCTTCATCTTAGAGGCAGAAGAAGAAGAGACCTTGTTGGGCACGCGCACTGAGCAATTTGCCCATGATGGTCGACTGAAAATCAAACATGTTTGATTTTCTCCCCACCTTACGATTCCTGATCGGGAGGTGGTCGTGAGAGGCTGATTGCCCCTCGTTACCCCCCGTACACGATTAGCCTGAAAGTCGGCCCGATCGGAAAATTGTCGCAGGACTAGAAAGTCGTGCCGAAAAAGGCAAAAAAACAAAAAAACGCCTTTTTGTGTATGCCCGGCTTAAGGAGTTCCCTCCAATTAGAGTAGCTCACTTTTCAATCAAATCAAAACAGCTTCCCTCTCATGGCTGTAGAATTGCATTCCTACAGCATGATGCTGTCATGACTATGAGGTAGTGCTGTGAAGGGGAAAAATATCGCTTTAATTTTCTTCCATTTTTTCATTAAGTTCAAGTTTAGTTGCAAACAGAAAGCCAAACTTTCTTTAAACAATGAGTTCATCTTGCCATTCTTCCAAACAGTATATTTGTAA